CACCTTGTCTTGCTGTTTTCAACTGAAGGCAGCATATCCTTCGCGGAGCTCTTGAAGTGCGAGGCTCAGAGTCAGCTCAGCAGCAGTGATTCAGCGGCACCCCCAGCAACTGGCGCCGCTTGGAGCTCATACGCGCTCATGTCGCCGTTCAGGTCTTCTTTGAGTCTCGGGGCAATCTGTCCACCCTGAAGTCATGGCCACAGTTGCTGCAAAGGGCTGTGGCTGCAAAAGACCCCGCGTCTTCAGGCAATACATCCGGAGGCATGTGGACAGGAGTCTGGGATTCTGTGTCAAAAGTGGGAAGGAAGATTTAGGCATTAGAAAATAACAGACAAGGGCATGCATGACACGGCATGGACTGCAGGGCAGTGCGAGCATTCCTGCTTCCGCGCAGGATGCGTGAGGGTCGCTTCAGCGTGCAGGATTTCATTTTCCACCATGAGGCATTTGGAGAAGCCTTAGAGGGATAGAGTTGGAAGTTTCTTGTTTTCGCTTGTGCAGGTCAGGCCGCCCGACGAGTACAAGGGTCTTGGGCCATTGGCAGCCCAGGTGCAGATGACAGCCAAAGGTTGACACCAATCAGTTCCAACAGAGTTGTCAGCAGCAGCAACTACAAGGCTTTCAGGCCTGACCGGTCTTTTGCCGTCGTGTGTCGAGGCTGTCCGACGAAGCGGCGCCTCATGGCCTTCTCCTGGCGAGAGGCCTTGCAAGTCGGTCAAAACTTTCAGCTCCAGCCGACAAGGGCCCTGTCAGTGAGTCTCCGATCGCATTGACGTTTGTGCAAATGTCAAAAGCGCGCTGGCTTGCTCGCTCTCACTGTCTCGCACAGTTGCAATCTCAGTCTCAGTCGATCTCTCTCTCTCTCTCTCCCTCCCTCTCTCTCCTTCCCTCTCACTCTCCCTCCAAAAACATCTCTGGCTTCGTCCATCTCACCTGCTTGCCTTCGCTGTCAGGTTCTCTTTCGTCGTAGCAGAAGGCCGAAGCCGTGCCACAGCAGCACTTCGCTTTCCCCGAACTGCTGAACTCTTCTGCTGCCTTTGGCTTGTCATTGCAGAAGAAATTGGCCCGCCCAACTGGAAAACGTTCGCATCTCTTGACCTCCTGATGCCATGCCAGCAGAACTCTTCTGGGGATGTGCTATGGCAGCTGCTGCAGGAAACACGGCAGCAATGTAGTCCCGAAGCCACAGCGGCATAATCGTCGCTTGCAGTGTAGTGTATCCTGGTGTAGAGTTTCTATGAGAGCCTTATAAATCAAGTTTGGTCTTTGTGCTGCTATCATGCCTTGTGGAAGTTCGTTTAAACGAACGGCTTGAGCTGTATCGTTCAGTGCGCTTCCTACACATTGTTGGTTTGCTTTTCTTGCCCCATCTCACCCGGAGCTTGGCTGTTATTTTGAGAGGGATTCGCAACTGTTCAGCTGTCCCGGTCCCACGAACCCTGGATTGCAAGCTGAGAGACCGGAGACCCAAGACCGCCTTGATGGTCTGCAGGCTCCTGGCTACAAGGTTCTGGGCTTCAAACGAAAACTCGTGCCTGAGTTCCTGTCGCCTTTTGAGGACACTGCGTTTTCCGGCCCTTTTCTTCCCGACAATCGCGTGGGAATGCCCAAGATGTGCTCATGCTCCGGGTTCGCTCATCAGCTTCCTGGCAGCAGAGGACTTGGGTGCATTGTTGCTGGTCACACAGCTTCCGAACGAAGCAAGTTGAAGATAAGACTAAAGAGACACGCAGGTTGTGGGCTGCTATCTTATCTCCATGACTCTACAAGCCATCGTGTATCCGGTAGCCGTGGCCAGTGCATGGATATCGTGGCCTTCAGAGAAGGGGCCGTGGCTAGAAAGCAGAGGTCCCACGCTTGACGAAAGCTAGGCTCTGTTTTCTGTGAGCTGTGCAAAGCCCTTGTCGTGAGCGTGTCGTGCCTCCTTGCAGGTGGCATGTTCGAGGACTCCAGTCTGCTTGGTCTGCGCATCCAGCTGTACGCATTTTTCGGCTATCTTCTGAATGATCTCCCGATGTCCTGGGAGAACTCGTTGATACGGCTGCATCATCTGGTTTGTAGCCAGGGCAGAGTTAGCATTGCCAATTCTTTGTCTGGTCGAAGGGATCCAGATCATGCATGTTATTACCCTCCATCGCTTCATCTACCTGAGGCATCGCGGGCGTTCTGGTTGCGTTCCATGCTCCAGAAGCACATGTTCCTACTGCTCTGGGCATATTCGCTTTGGAATATGGCAGTCTGTTCTACAATGCCTGGCTCATTGATGAGACGCCTGGCACTTCGAATGGGTAAAGCGGTATAGCACATGCAATTACGCTTGTTCTTGGTGAGTCTGGGGAGTCTACGCTGCAATGACTCGGCAGTCCCTTGCAGCACCATTCGGTAACCTTTCGTCACAGGACACTACGCGATGCTGCTGTCTTCTGGTGGCCGCGCTCACGACGAGTCGTTTCCGGACTCTTCAGATTCGGCATGACGATTTCCAATGTAGTAGCCTGCCAGCATCAGAAGCTGCAACTGGTGCCTCCCTGCCACGGGACCAACCAATGAATTTCGGGTCCTTCGGTCGGTGTCAAAATGTTTCAGAGGATCGATGTTTTTTTACGAGATCCTGGTACCTCCCATTCTCATCCCAAAGCGACAACATGTTCCATTGCTGTTCGGAGTTTGATCTCTGTCTCTGAGGCCGCAAGTTACCTCCTCCTTCGAGTGGTCCGCACCAACGTCACCTTTGCACATTGGGGCTTTGGCAGCTTTTATGCTCCTTGGCGTTAAAAAAAGCGGCATCCACACATTTGGCGAGTCTTGGTCGGCTCATCGAAGGCAGTCTGTGGAGCCCCTCTACTCCTCCTACGGCAAAAAGAGGTGTTCTGTGCGGAGAAACCGGCTTCGGCGCTGGTGAAAATTTCATCAACCGACTAAGAGAATTGGGAAAGCCATGAGTCCAGACAACAACTTCATCGTGAAACGTGATGCCGAGCAGGTGCTTTGGACTGTCAAACCTGCAGCAGTCCGCTTCAGTTCCGTCAAGTTCCTGCAACGCAGCTATGCACAGCTCTAGTCTCAAGTGCCTGGTCTGGTCTGGTCGAAGTCCCAGGGCACTGCTCTAACTGCTCTACCATGCCTCCGACAGTCCACACTGCTGCTGAGATCGCTACTGTCGTGCAGCATGAAGCCAAACTGCGGAAGAATAGCAAGCTGTGCACTTTCATCTTGAGTTTCGCAACTGCCAAGCGCGGCCCTGTCACACCAGCATGGAGCAGCGAAAGCATGGAGAAAGAAAACTCAGCCTCAACCGTGCTGTTTTGCAGGTGCTCGGTGTGAAGACAGTAATGCCTCACCGCGTTAATTGGGAGACGTGGATCTGGATCTTGCGGTCTTCTGGGCAGGTCCGCCAGGGTCGAGGCTGGCCGACGTGGCAGTCCTTCGCTGAGCCTGAGCCGAGTCCTCTTGGTGTCAGAGTCTAGCGTATGTCTAGCGTATTGCAGCGTATTCACGTGTTCAGGTCATCCCAGGAGAAGTGACTGGTGGACGTCCGGTGCAAGCAGAGGTAGAGGCGAGGTACTGTAAATGTGCAGCTTCAACGAGTGCCCAAGATGTGTCGTGGTGCCTTATCGGTGCCACCCTAGCTGAAAGTTGCTAGGCAGGTCGCACGCCTTTGTACGTGAACATCGAGTATTATCTGGAGCGTCAGATTGGTCCAGCACTTCATCGTTTATTTATGCTCGTCAGAGGCAGAAGCACTTCGACTGCAGCAGATGTAGGAAAGAGTTCGTTGATGCATCAGGACCAAACGGGCTACAAGGGCAGGTGGACGTCCGCCGTTGGATCGCGGAAGGACCTCGTCCAAGACGGAGGCCTCGGCAACAAAGTCGAAATCCTCATCCCTGTGCTGCTTGACCACGGCCATCCCTCCCACGACAGTTTGAGACCGACGCACGGTGGCTGTTGCATCGCCACACGTCTGTTGCATTTCGCGTCGGCGGAGCAATCCTCCAGCGTATCCAGCGTCCTGTATCTTGTCCTTCACAAAGCCCAAGCACCTCAGGGTTTGGAGTTGCTAGAGCTACAAGTAGTTTTCTATCGCCGGCTTACGGTTTGGAACTCCGGGTGCTCCCGGACGCAGAGCCCTGGGGCCCGGCGTGTATACCGACCTGTCGTCCGCTGCTGCTTCATTTCGCAGCTACAGCTGCAACAGGTCACCACCTCTTGCGATGAACGGGCAGCTTTCTACTTGGTTCGGGTCCAACAATGGCGCATCTTCACCGATCGTCGTAGCATTCAACCAGCACGCGCAAGGATGACTTTGGTGACCTGCTAGTCAGCAGCTGGTACCCAACAGGGCATACGAACATCCACGATACATTTACGAACAAAGCAGAGGATAGGTGTGAGTCATGAAAGAAAGCGTGTCCTGCGAGGACTCAGCTCGAGTTCTGGTTTACTAACAGTTCTCAGTGGCTTCGAAAGCACGGAGCCGAGTCAAGGGAGGGCCCTCCCCCCACCATCCCCCCTGGGTCTCCCTTCTCCAACTTCCGATACAGTTGCTAACCTTATGGCTATCGCAACTGCTGCGATAGAACCCACTGCCACTTTTAGTGCTACTGGTCGGATCCATGGTACTTCCAAGATACTGTTACTGCGGCTGTTTCGCTGTTGGCCTCCTTCTTCGAACTGTTTACTGTCGTTACCTGTGGTGCCGTTGTTACTCTCCCCGGCAGAAGTTGGCTCGTTCTTCTGGACTGCGGGCAAGGCAAGCAGGAGCTTGAATTTCGTATTACAGCCGCAAAATAAAGCTATCATACTTCTAAAGAGTAAAGCTCATAGCTTCGACATGCATCTTATTGTAAACCTCAGCCGCTCTTCGGATGACAGGCCGGGAGCTCTCAGACTCCCTAAGACGTCAACGTCCTGGTCCGCCCCTCCCTTCCACTGCCGCTGCGGCGACAGTTGGTGCCGTTGCCCCGACTACTGCTACTGCTAGTCAAGTCCTCGCTGCAATGCCCCGCACTAACCATCGCCGACGAGCTTTCCTCCAGCCTTCTCAAGTAAACTATGGAAAACCAAGAGGCAAGTCAGGGCTGCCGGGTCTTCCCGGCTTTCACACGACCAAACACAAACTTGGATTGATCTGATTTCAATTCGGAGTAGATTGCAGCACCACTGCTGGTCATGACTGCACCGCGCTTTGAAGCAAAGTACGAGGAGCTTTGGATAGAACGCCAACTCTGTACACCGAGAGCTGCACCACCTCGGCGCAGGGATGTGGCAGCGAGCACCCTGCGCAGTTCCTGCTCATCTGCCTCGGCTATGCTCAACATGGCCGCGGGCTTTACTTGCCAGGCATGTGGACAAAGAGCAGGCGGGAAGCTATGACACAGTTGTCATAGAATGCCATGTTCCAGCCATGAAGGCGCCAGGATTAGCGGCACTGCCGGTCTTTGTGCTGAGTGCCAGCGTGGAGGAGCAGTCCCCTGACTAAGATATTTGCGAGTCTGCAGCGTCCTGCAGCAGCAGCAAGAGCCCTTCGCAACGGTTTCATCCACAGCAGCAAAACTGTTAGGTCCAACGGCTTCTTGATGGTATGTCTCAACGGAGCCACTGGGAGAAACGTGTGGAGGGATGCTTGGATCTGAGACTAGCATGAGTGCAGATCCTTTTGCTGACAAGAAGCCATACTGCGCAAAAACTGAGGTCGTGAAGTTTGCATGCGTTGCAGCAATTCTGCTGCCATGGAGGAGGATTGCCGCAACATCTACTGCAAAGTTTTTTTTCGCAAGGCCCTGCAACTGCAAGTGGAAATGTCGCTAGCAAGGTCTTGGATGTGCCGCCCTGCATGATGGAATGACTCACAAGCGTTGCCAGCTTCAGAGGTCAATGCACAACTGCAGCTGAGCGGCTGCGTCGTCCCGAAGTCCTGGCCGGCTGCAGTAGATTGGTGACTGCAACTGCTCACAACAATTTTGACTGTAGCCTTCCAAGACTCAGCTGGACTGCATTACGAGTCGGACGCCTAAAACAAAGATGTGTTTTGTTCAATTACCAGGAGTCGCTTGCCATACGCCGCTCCATGGCGCAATGTGGCGCAAAAAGCAGCTTGAATGCGAATTTATGTCAGTTCTAACCATGTACTGCCGCTGTCTGGCTCGAGACCGGCACAAAATGTGCTTATCCGTGAGTGAACGTCTGGAACCTCCCTAGACTTAAATTCTCCACAAAAGTCGCAAGTACTCCACGAGGACCACGCGTGCACAAAGCTGTCTCGGGGTCTTTCGTGGAGCGAGACTCACGCAAGCAGGAGCCAACAGAGGCCAATGATCATGCCAGCTTCCCCAGTGTCAGTTCCGGAGCTGAGATCTGCAATCTGCACTTGTGGAGTTGTAAGGCGACAGCTGCTGGGCCTCGCTCTTCTGCGTGCTGCGAGTGGCATACTACGGGACTCTTGCTTGCGCTTGAAGTGTCTAACCAGAGTAGCGAGATGTCCGCTGGAGGAGCTGTACACCACGAATGCAGCTTGCAAAGCCCAGTACTGCATCAACCCAGCCGGGTCCCGAAAGCTGAAGTGCGCGGCATGTAGAACAGTGAGCGGTGCAAGGAGCCGTGTAATTCACCGTGGACGACCCTCCGCCAAAGCGTTTGCCGCAGGTGTTCCCTGCTTTGCAGGATCTACCGAGACTGGAAAAGCAAAGGCCACGGTCCTCGTTTGCAAGTCTTTACAGACTCTTCAGTTGATTTTGCAGACATTCGCATTCCCCCAAAAGACATGCTTTGTGCTCAAAGGGCTTTCCCTCATTTGATGCGAGCGTGGTGTCACTTTTGATTTTTGCGGTTTTCGACATGCTGCCGAGCAAAAGTCAGCCACGCTGCAGCGTGGTAGAAGGCCGAATGCCGAAGATTGCCGAAGCGTGAAACCAAGCTGTAACTTTACGAAGAAGTTTCCTGGTGTCTTCGGGCTCCGTCGGGCTCCTCGCCGCAAGCAGTCCGTGGAGCCTGAAGAGCCAAGTGTGGAAGCAGTCGGCGTTTTAAACACGTCAAATCAAGCAGCATCCGGAGACGGCGTCGGTTTGGAAGCATGGGCAAAATTTCAGTCTCTCCGGTCATAATGACTCGCGACGATTTGTGTGTGTATGTGGTCTGACCAGCGGCCTGTTATTACCTGTGCCCTCCCCTAAGCGAGCCCACGCTGCAGCTGTGAAACTGCTGTCAGACACGAAGGGGGTCTTTCTTGACTTTCTTGTGTCCAGGCTATCGCAGGAGTCAGTTGGGTCTGGCGACTTTTCGAGCATGTAGAACTCTATGCGCTATTTCGTCAACACTGGTTCCCCGTGTCGAGAAATCGCTGCGAAGTACAGCATGGGCGAGGGATGATTTCCGGCAAACGTTCGATTGAATATTGAATCTGAGAGAGTCACAGCGCAATTGAGTCCATGTTGGTGCAATCCAGTCGCTTTACGGTGCACTTGTCCACTCATGCCTTCTTGCTAGACATGTCTGCTTTCCCAGCTTTCGTCGAAGATTTGAGTTGTGGCCATGTGCGATCTTCCTGCAAATCGGTGACCAACGCGGGCCCACGTTTCACACAGGGAGACTCCTACTGCGGACGACACAGTGTCATTCCACACGTAGGAACATGTCAAGTCAGTGACGGAAAGCTCCTGGATTCGTCAGGTGGGGCAAGCACAGCTACACGAACTTGACAAAGTTCATGAAGTTTTGCTGGTGGCCCAGTTGAGTGCGGGCCGGCAATACCCGTGACCGGATTTGTGATACCCTGTAGCTTGTAGCAGTAGCCATGTCTTCGAGGTTCCGGGGCGGTGGACTACAACATCGTGCGCACCTCAGCACTCAGACGTGAGCACGGTGCATGGCGATCCTATATTAATGGAGAGAGGTAGGAATGCGGCACCAAAGAAGCAAGTAAGACCACTTGCGTAAGTATGCAACAAAGAAGCACGGAAGACAGAAAGTAATTAATCAAGGAAGCAAGTGAGATGGAGTAAGTAAGTGAACCGCGTGTGAGCCCGGTCTATCGCGCTGGTTGGGGGGTTGGAAAGATGTGGATCCGAAGCGGCGGCGGCAGGGAAATCAGATGCCTTGTTGTTTCATCTCGGTTTTGCAAGGCGAAGCCACCAAGCCGCCGCGTCAAACCACCAGTACGGATCAGCGCTGGTGTGCGTTTTGAGCGACTGTGGACGGCAAACTAGTCGCCTGGTCTTGAACACACACCTCATTTGTCAAAACGGTCCGTCGGACTTCGTCCGCAGGCCACTACTGTTGATTGAGGTTGCAGAGCGGGGCCGTGGATCAGACATTCAGGCACTCGGAGACTTAAGAAGGACAAACCAGAAGCTGGTAATGCTCGTTCGAATAATGCGGAATGAGTGAGGAGCTCTGTCAGTTTTGGAGAGCTTGTGGAACTGAAGACATGGAACATCATGGAACCGAAGACCAGGAAGTCGGGTTCGACTCGGGCAGAACCTGGGAGAGCAACTCTCCGACAGAGCCAGCCTAGCCCCATCCCCAGGCCTGGTGAGGCCTGGTGAGGCCTGGCGGCGGAAACCTGGAACAGAAACCCAACCGGCGTTCCACGAAAAAGAGGCTTTCCTTTTTCGCCCGAACGAGGAGTTACCAGGTTTCCTTCCAATACCAACAGTTGCCTGGAAACAGAAACAACGCAACCGATGCACAATGCTGCCTTGCCCTGGTGACCTTGAGCGAGAGTTGGTTGTCAGTCTGGCTTGCAAGGTCTTGCAAGTGATCCAGACAAGTCAGTAACACTAGCATGTTTCTCCTGATGCATCACATGTTTCCAGCTTGTCTTTGTCTTTGTCACGCCATCACATCCTTTTGCGTTGGTAAGTCTTCTGACGGAGATCGCAGGCTTTGCCCTTTATCGACGCCTCCCACAATGCCACCCGCACGCAGGACTGGCTCCGAATTCCAAATCCGAGCGTCCAGTGGATGCACATGTCGTGTCGGGCAAGCGCGTTCCAGTCAGCTGAAATTTGTTGACCTGCCGAGCTGCGCTGCGCTAGGAGCTGGCCATTGCCCAAGACCGCCAAGCTGCGCAGACGCATCTCGGCAGAGTCACATCTCCTGGGCTGGAGCGAACTACCGAAAAGTGGGCAGTCCACGCAAGCAGGGATTCGAGCCTTTCGAATTTCGTTGGGAAAGGATTAGCATTTTCTCATTGAAGGCATGGAGACATTGATCCGGCAAGTACTGGCGTGCCAAGCAGTCTGGTGAGCGAGCGATGAAGCGTCGCATTTGATACCAACGCAAAGGCAGCTGGAAAAGGCTCTGGCAGTGGCAGGCGATCCCAGAAGTTGAGTCACACCAGTTCCACTGGCAACACTGCACAGATCAAAGTCATCCAAAGGATCCCAGAGTGCCCTGCCACCCGTCCTCGGCCCGTCCTCTTGAAATCATGGCTAACACGAGGAAGAATGCTCGTAATGGGACACTTGGGAGGGGAGCGAGGTGTGCCGAGATTCTCTCTTCAAAACCTCCGCGCCACGTTGTGTTTGTGTTTCGAATTAGTCTTCTGTTGGTTTGACTTTGCTTTTTTGATTGACTTTTATCTCCCCAGGCTGTTTGGTGTGCTTTGGATGTCCCTGTTTTTGGTTCGTTAACACTGTTAGAGTTTCTTGTGTTTTCCCTAGGTAGATAGGTGTTGTTTGTTGTTCTTTGATGTTTTTGTGTTTTTGTTCATGTGGTTCCATTGTTCTCTGTGTTTTACCTTCTGTGTATGTTGTTTGATTTCCCTTTGTTGATGTGATTTTCGTACGATTGCCTTTGATGCTTGTAAGTTCCCTAGGCCCTAGGTTCGCTTGATTTAGCTTTTTATTTCACCAAGTGTTTGATATGTTTTCGGTTTGTTTGATGTCCCTAGTTTGTTTGATTGTCGTTTAGCTTACCCAGGCTGAATGTTTGTGTAATGATTTCTTTGAATTTCCCTACGTGTTCGTGCTCGTTTGATGTCCTTAGGTTCGTATGATGTTGTGTTGATTTCCCCAGAGGTTTTACTGTTTCTGATGTTTCATTTTTTGACCAGAGATTCTCCCGAAAGGATTCAGCAGCTAACCGAAACACAAACAAGCCCTGGAAATGCACCAAACCGACATGGAACAAATAAATCCGGAACTTAAAATCCAAAAGGTAACAAGCACAAAATTCGTTCTGAAACCGCCCCTGAGCGTTTAGCAGGAATGCAACTCTTAACACCAGCTGTCGGAGTTGCAGATCGCGCTTCGTGTGCCCATGTTGAGCGACTTTGGGCATGCAAGTTGTGTGCGTCTGTTGCGGTTTTCGGAACCGCAAACCAGATGGCAACGCGTTGAAGAGCTTGCGCTCCTGCAAGTCAACCGCATTCATCGGCCCATTGTTGTGCGATACTCCGTCCATGTCGATGGATCTACTATGCTTCGTTGTTCCAAACAAGAGTCATACGACGCTTCAGAAACATCCGCCCAGAAGCAGAACGCTCCTGTTGCGAGAAAGGAAGAGAAAGCTGGCTGGGTCGCTACCAATTGCGAAGACTGATTTGTTCGGAAAACCCTGGAAGTGACGGTGACACATATAGGTACACTTCCAAGATCGAGAGCCGACCCGAGGTACTTTTTTCATCTCTCAGCGATGGGGATTGAACCTTGGGATCATGAAAACCCATTCGAGGCTCGAATGTAGATCTTGCTGTGAGTCGCGGAACACGTTGAGAACCGTGTAAGATAACTTCAGTTTGTCCGGACACATCAGGACTCCGCCAGTTCAGATCGGGCCTGTGCACGCGAAGTTGCAAGGCTGCGACGGCGTCGACTCCGGCATTGCATCGGATTTTCGCTCGCAGGATGGCGTGCTTCACATACCTGCCTGCTGCGATCCACAGCGTCCCAGATGGAGCTGAAGTCAGGCCACGATGTGGTAATTACATGTTGTTTTCGCTTTGGCATCGCTACTAATCAGATCATTTCAGGTACCATCGTCCTTGCGATGCAAGCTGCCAAAGTTTCCTGCAGGTGGGTTGATTCGGGCTGACCAAGCAATCTGAAGCTCACTTGTGCCATGAATTCTGCCAGACTTGCGGCGTGGAATGCTGCGACGAGAGCACCACTTGTGCCGGGGCCCTAGCGGCCCGTGCCGTCAGCTACGAGAGTATCGCTGTTTGTGAGACCTGGTCCGCCTCGGTTTCTGCGAACCTGCCAGAGTTAGAGGACGGGTGCGCGTGCGTCCCTGCCATGCATAACTTGAATATATACCGACTTCAAAAGATGATAAAACCGAAAATATGCAGATCGGTTGGGTATGATTGTGGACCGGAGTGGCTTCAACTGCTCCGACATTCACGTCCGCATGTGTACCGCGCACGTGGTCAATGCAAGTTAACTGCTGGGAGCAGGTGCCAGGACTTGCGGCTCCATCGTCGACCTGCTGTCCAGACAAGGACAAGGCCTTGACCCGAGGGCATGATTGCTGAAGAGAAGCTTTTGACTTGGATTTTCAGGACACCCACGATGTTCAGCAAAGCACAGATCGACCTAGGCATCCCTGCAAGCGGACCCTGGGGTTGTTGATTTGAGCTCATCGGCATCCATGCAGTATGCAGTTGGACATCGAAGGCAGTGTGTCTCGACCAGCCTGCAGTCGTGGAGTACTGGCGCAGGCATACGCAGGACCAAAACGGCCACGATGTGGTCCTGTTCCAGGGGCCCGGTCCTTTCTGACTGTAGTCTCTCTAGACTGCGGCGGCAGCTTGTTCTGAATTTGGTACAGGGGACTGCCTGGATGAATACAGGCAGCAGAGAAGCAACGGTGCAATAGTTACAATAGTTTCTTCTGAAGAGCCTTGCGAGATGAAGACGGTGAATTGGTTTGGTGATCGTTTCATCTGCTAAAGTACCGTAGCATGCCATACTCCAATGGTCGAAGAAGGGATGCGCAAGAAGATTGCGCACATCAAGAGAAGGAGGCAACAACACAAGCCGTGTCGCAACAGTCTCTTCTTAGCACGGCTACATTGACATGCTTCCCTGCGGACTTGTAGAAATTGATTCTACATTCATGGAAACAATTACTGAGATCTATTGCAGTTGCATCATGTTGCCTGTTAGCAGGTATGCTCGCGCATCTGAGGGCCTCTGCACGGGTCGCTAGACCGGAGAAGTGACGCTGTGAGGAGAAAGCAGCAGTGCCAAGAGAAACGGTCGTGGATTGACGCATCCGGCAGTAAGAGTTGCACTTCAGAGCCACGCCTCGAGCTCCGAAGCGTTGTTATTATTATTGTAGGCAAATTGTAGTCCAGTCGCGATGTAGTGGCCGAACTCCAGATAAGCACGCGAGATCTAGCCTGCGCCAGAGTTATGCATGCTAACATTAAATGCGCGACCAGCATGATGACTACTGCGAAGCTCCTACTTCTCAAGCCGGAAGTGGGCTGAAGCACGGTACTCAGCACTCTGCGCAGATCTGTGAACTACTTTTCCACTTCCAGCAGTGTCGCCTGATCGGTAGGTGAGACAGCAAGTTACACCATCTGCAGTGGCACCATGTTCTGAACAAGCAACTCTGGCTGCACAGCTGTCCTTAACTCCAGGTGCCAGCGCGCACCTCCCCAATGGATGCTGCGACGGTGGTGGTTCGCAAACTTACGGGAGAGACCATCGAGTGCCGGTCTTGTGATGCGTTCTGCGCTTGTCCTTCCTGATGGGTCCGGCTACGTGGCATCCACAGGTGCCAGGCGGACTTGTCCATCACTGTCGATGCTTTCAAGCACAAGATCGCGGAGAAGGTTTCTGCTAAGCGCGTGTTGCTTGCAGCAGTCGATGGTGAGAAGTGAGAGCGGACTCCTTAACCAGTTCAGTCAGCTATGCTGGGCCCCACTAAGTGAAGTGTTCATGTCCTGCCATCTTGCCATGTTCACAGGTCTCTGTTCCGGCCCTGTGCCAGAGATTGACTCTCCATGATGTTGGCGAGAAGTTTTCTGAAAGCCTTCTGCAGCACATGATACCGTATCATCTGCAAAGAGTGGGGGAACCAATCCAAGATTTGAGCAAGTCACATGTGGCGGAAGCTCAGCTCGCCAATGTTGTCACACTCTGCTCATGTTGTTTTTGCTGTGGCGTGTACTCGTGCTCTTCGTTTCGTCTACGAGGAAGTGAAAGCTTTCCGGAATCCCCCACGGATGGTGGTCTCCTGCCTCACTGTCGTGCTGGCGCTTGTCGGAAGCAGCAAACTCATAGGCCATTGCCAGGAGATTTTGCGGTTGCCCGCAGTTTTCGTCAGATTTGCGTGGGTTGACCTGCTGAGCTGCTGGAGCAGGTAGCAAAACAGACGCGGAAGGGGTGCCAGCGCCGTTGTCCTGGGAGCAATGCAAGTTCATGATGCGAGACGTCAAGAACTTTCTAGGTGCTGTGCAGGACTTCCTCACTGCTTGTAGCTTAACGACTTTATTGCCGAGTGTGTCTTTCCATCGGCTTGCAGAACTGGCCTCAAGAAGTACTCTGTGGGGAAGTGAGCGTGCAGCTTAGACAAGCTGCCTTCTGGATGTTGTCAGGGTAACACCAGTGACGAGACGACAGGAAATGCAGGCGATGCCCCAAGTGCTCTTGCTTTGTCCTATGCGTCACGGCGAGGTGAGAGCCAAGTGCGCCGCGCGGAAGAGCTCATCGAGCAGGCGCAGCCCTTCGATCCCCGACACATGGCCCGTGCAAGCTTCCTGGATTTCCTGGCACTTGGATTCACAACGAATCTGCTTAACGCCTCCAAAAGCGCCGCTCGCCGGAGCATCTCCGAAAGCCCAGGTTTTCTGGGTGCAAGACTCTGCGAATGGGTGCTCGGAGCATTGAAGTTTTACAGGGTCGATGCTCCCAGACTTGCAGAGCAGCGTGCTGGCGGGATCGCATCAGTGGAGCTGGAAAACCTTGCCCCATTGGGCATTTACTGTCAGGATCAGGGTCGCAAGCAGCATCCTTTGCCAGCTGTGCACAAATCCCCTCTTTAACTCGATTAGTTAATATGTTGATACTTCACTTTCGGACTTCGCCGAGAAAGTCACAAGGAAGTGTCGGAGTTCCACTTGTCACTGGTGGCTGACCTTGAGCCGGTGTGGTCTGCGCTGCAAGTGCACGACAAGCAGCTGCTGGCGATTCAGGCACTAGGAGTGTGATCTAGCTGCAAGTATGGTTCCGAAAATATGCTCCAAAAGGGTTCTAGAAGCACACGTGTGAATCAGAACTCCCGACGTGTCTTGTATGCCAAACGACCTCTAAATCCCAAAGCGGATTCCCTGAAGACTGGTTACTCGAATGGGCCGAGGACAAAGCATGATGGTCCAACAGGGTGTTCAGACTGTCATACACACTCCTTCGCTCCAGATAAGATATGGACCCTGGACTGATTTTCCAGAATTTCCAGAAGGGAGTGTGAACCAACCAATTGGAGGAGGAAGCGTCATGGGTCCAATTTACTCTGGTGGCCTTGCAACATGGTCATGACAAGTTCACATTGACGTTTAGACAACCAGGTCCGCTGCAAACACCTTGGTCCACTTCAGATACTTATACTGTTTCAGTGGACTGAGAGCATGGTGAAAGCAAAGGATGGAAAGGAAGGACAGGGGAAAAGAGTAGGACTGAATGTGAGTAAGGAAGAAGTTTCGGTTGTCTTCAAAAGAAAAACAAGGCATGAGAAGGAAATAAGGAGGCAGCGTGGAGGAAAGACTGCCCACATGCCAAAGTGTCGTTTGACGAGTATACAGTATACAGGAGAACGACAGTCAAGTGGGAGACTTGCGGAGGAACAGACGCGCGATGCAAACACACGCAAACACAATCGAGAAGCGTAGAAGCTGGAGTTTACGGGTTTCAACCTTCCGACTGGCTTGGCGGCTTGACTGACAAGGATTGAACAGCACTTTTTTTGTCCACACGTGCTCGTACGGCTACTTACTTGACAGACGAGCTGATGTTCACCTCGTTCTTGCTGCCTCATCTAGGCGCTTGGAATCAGATCTGTCAATCGACTGCCAGAGAATTGCGAATATGCCACGGCAATTGAAGGCAGAATGTTTTTTAGATCCTTAGCACTGTTCGTGCACCGCTGTCAGAATGGCGCCAGGCTCTTCGAGATGAAAACTGCATCGAATGGTTCGGCTTTCAAGACGTGTTGCCGCACAGGCTGGATAGAACACTGAAAGCACAGGCAAGATCGGCCGTGCAGGCAAGTGTCGTTGGGATGCATCGTGAGCTGGCCACTGTCATATTCATCTGAAATTTGCTTCGCATCCAGTATCCATATCGGAGACAGTAGCAACTATGATGAACTGAGAAGCGAAATCGAAATGTGGACCGGTTGTCTTCCGCTGGATGAACTTGCACCGTGGGTTGGTTGTTGAACAAGTGACGGGTGACAAGTGCGGTCGAACAGTCGAACTTACCGTCGGAGGCATAGTGTCGGAGTTTCCTGTTGTGGTGGGGCGTCGATGACTTTTACTTTCGGGTTAAACAAACGTCAGCTGCCGGACTGCGTTTTGTTCGAGTTTACCAAATGCCGGCTGCCGGACTGCGTTTTGTTCGGCGGCTGCGTTTTGTTCGGGTTTACTTCATATTTTTAAAGGTATAGCAAACGCCAGCTGCGGTAACAGAGAAAAGCGCAAAGTAAAACGAAAATCGTATATGATTTGTTTCCAATCAAAAACTGCATATGCATATATAGCTATATATGGTACATACGCCAATGTAAGCAATGTACGCCAATATACGCAAATATACACAGCTGGCATATACAAATAACTGCTGCCGCTGCGGCAGCTGGCGTATGTAGCGCCAGCTGTCCTTTGCAAGGCTGCGGGCCCTAACGACGGGCCATTCCGCCCGCTCTGGATGCTAGGAATCGTCAGATGCCGGCTGCGAACGCTAAATGTGAACCTATTTCGGGCCAGTTCAGGTCATTCAAAAAATTGGAGCCACTCATCGCGGAAGATCATGGATCACTAGCACATCGATCGGTGCAGCCACTGGCAAATTTGAATTTGAACTTCCCTACCAGTAGCACACGGGGACAAAGCAGCTGTAGCTCTCCCACAGTCGATAAACACGCGGTACCTGGAGCTTGTGGTGTGCTGTTGTACCCACAACTTCCACCAATTCACGGTGAAAAGCTGAGTTGCCTGTCGAGAAGGCACGACATTATGGACAATTCATCAAGGCTGCTCGAGTTGAGAGTTCGACCAGTCCCACACATGCACATTCGGGAATGGGAGTGTCTTTTTCGTCATTCAGGATCATGTTGTTGTTCATCGGCAGTAAAGCACGATGGACCAAGAGGGGGGGGGCCTCGGCGTGACTTGCAAGGTTGGGAAGCAAGTGCCCGCAGAGAGCCTTGCAAGAACTGGCTTCCAAGCTCCTGGCTTCTGACCAGCTCCGGGAGGCTGCGCTGCATTCCGTGCGAACAGCATGGACAAAGGATACAGAGGCAGCAACATTGCTGTTGGAGTCCTTGCCAGCCCCTCACACGCAGCAGCCCACAAAAGAGGCGCGGTGTGTTGCAAGGGGATCTCGAAGATTTTGCAATGTCTACCGCCTTTGCGGCAGTTCTGTCTCAGTGCAGATGAATGTTCAGGCCCTGGCGGCTTTGGTTCACCTTGGGCCTTCAGATTTTCGCGTCTTGGAGCTTTGGAATGCTTCAGCGGTATTTGGCATGTAGCAATTCCCGTAGCTTCGTCGTTTCGAACTTGCTTGAGCAACCAACGCTGAATGTATGGCCATTCCAAGCATAGGAATGGGTCATACATGCCCTGAATTCTGGGAGCGACGAAACTCGACATGTGGCTCTTCAACTGTTCAAGTCAATGGAGGAGAATGCTGCCGCTTGACAATACTTTGTGTTAAGATAGGTGCCGGCTGAATAGTCCAACCCCTGACAGTCCACCAGTCTTAGTCGGTTTGGGTCGCAGCTTGCCGCAATTGTTGCCAGAACAGTCACACTAAGGATGCAGACAAGGTAATCGCCCGCATCTCGCTGGCACTGCATGCACGAAGACGTTGGTATGTCGTGCTCGTGATCTTGCCAGGCATCATTTCGTCCATGTTCCAAGCTGCTGCTGATGATCCGCCTTCGTCGCAAGCTTGCATCTTCGACGCCTTGGTTACTGCGAGCAAGCGGGACTATCAGACCGAGCCTACGCCTTCATTCACAGAAGTCTCATGTCCTACAGCTGGGCAGATGCTGGCCACCTGAGCTAATCCGAGGCTATCAGCCTCCTCTCAGAGCGGCTGCAGCCTACTCAACCTACTTGGGTACAGTCACGAGCTGCTGCTGCAGCTGCACAGACTGCTGCCGAGGCGCACATCACATTCCTGAATACAATCTGATGATAGTTGTATCCTTTAGACTTCAGAGTTCGCAAGGAGGAGCACTCGATCACAACTGCTCTTCGCGCCTTCTGGCTGCATGTTGACTTCCTGGTTCGAACTGCGCTCGACACTTCAGCTCCCTTTGAAGAAACTTCACGGAACCGCTGAGACAGTTTTCAAGGATTGCGCACGAGAGTTGGTTCCCTAACTGGTCCTAGCAGATGATGCAAGAATAGACCATATCAATATAGAGAGGCTTGTGAATGAGGTGCGTTCTAGATCCTACTACATCCTAGTGTATTGTTCTTCGGCAGGCCGCCGTGCCAGGCTAGAGGTTGGCTCCAACAATGTTTCAAAAGGCAGTGCCAGACGAGCTATCAGTTTGCTCATAACAGCCAATCCTCCAAGCTGGCAGAACGGACTCTTCAAGCGAGGGCACTCGAGAGCTTTCACATGCGAGATGGGGAGATGGATGTAAGTGAAGGTCCAAACCCGGTGCGAGAGCAGACTGCAGTCTCAAGAAGTCTTGTGACCGAGCTTATGCTTGTGATTCCAATGCAGAGCATCTCGTCTATACAGTAGCGATTCGGAAGGATTAGCACGGCAGCATACGGGCAGCTGCTGAGACGGATGCAGGATGAGGCCCAGCATCCTTCTGCTCGACTCACTCCTCAGTGCCTAAGGCTGTAGGCGCGACACCACCATGGTTCTGAATCTGTTCACTTGCCGGACTCGGTAAACTTGCTCGGAGTTTAACACGAAGCACTCCGAGCCACGCTGTGTTTCCTTCAGTCTTCGCCATCTCTCAGGAATTGCTGAAGAGCCTCACTGGTGGTCATCTCGTGGTGGTCGCAGCAGGACTGTTGCAAATTTCACCGGCATCTTATGGAGAGGCGATTGGGAGCCTTTGCCTGGAGCTGAACCGGAATCGAGGTATAGACCGTCTCGACACCATCAATGCCCTCTCCAAATATGCCAGGGAGTCTGACAAGTCTGTCATCGATGGTCTTTCGACATACCTCTTGCATGCCAAACGTGTTCTTGAAAAGGATGGGACGCCACCGATAATGGCTGCACTGCGTACGCTGAAAAGGGTTGCTGAGCCATATCCGGACAGGATAGATGAGGCTCGCACAGGCGTGCTGGCAGCTTTGGCAGCCAAGACGGCTGCCACGGGCGGGAAGGAGTACATGGTTAAACTTGTAGCCCTCGCCAAAGAGCAGGGTGCACCTCCGCGGACAGTGCTCGTTGAGCTCGCGAAGGGTTTTCAGAATCACAACAATTCAGTAAGAGATGCTTGTAAGGGTGTCTTTGGCAAGCTTTGTCAGCCCGGTGATGACACGGCGATTGACGTCGTGATGAAGGCGATTCAAAGCGACATTTACGGATGGTCCCGATGCGCAGCCATCGAAATGCTGCCAAAGATTGTAGCTGTTCCCCGACCAGACGTGACTGGATGTCTTCTGGAGTTGTGTCGCGAAGCAGATGTGGCTATCCAATCGGCGGCCCTTAGTGCCATGAGGCCGGCACACCCGCATACAGTTTGCTTGAAGGAGCGAGTCTTTCAATCAAGCAGCAGTCGGTTTTTCAGCGCACCCGATGCTGTAGCCATCAAGCACATATCATTGAAGCATTTGCCTTGGCGCGAGGGATGCTAGTCTCTACTCTACAGTGTGAAGCAAGGAGTGTGAAGCAACGAGTTAGCATCTCACGGCAAGCTTGAGACAATCGCTCCTGGTTGCGAGAAGCTAAAGCACCATAAGCACCTGACCTCTCATCCTGGGCTGAAAAGTTTGCACAGGCTCTGCGCCTCACCGTCGGCAGAAACAGCAGAGGTTGCGAGGAGCCATCTGCAGGCCTGGACTCCGGCCCCGCATTCCCCCGTATCCCCTCAACTCCAAAACCTGACAGGACACAGACGAGTCGGTTCGACTGGAAGCCATGCAAGGCCTCGCAGCACTGGAGCCGAAGCAAGAGCTGTTGCTGGACGTGCTTCTGGAACGCACTGAGGATCGGGAGACGCGCGATGTAGCAATTGAGCGAATGCTTAGACATCGGCCTGTGTAACTTGTAACCCGCACTCTGGGCTAGATGTAGAAGGAAAAGGGTACCGCCCAGACAGCCTCAGCGGTTTTCGATGTGCCAAGGGTCGGGAAAGCATGGATCAAGCACAGCCGCCTGTTGCCTGTATAGGCGTCGGACGATCCACGACCCTTTCTCCAACAAGCACAACTTATAACTTCGTTTCGCCTCATGGCATCTACAACTGACCGAAGCGAACTGAATCCTCACGGACACGAACACCGAGCCCGAGAGATCTAAACTTAACCACGTAAGACTGGCTAGGTCGAGGAAGAGCTGTAACGCCATCACCAGCTCCCGAATCTTCGTGTTCGGCCGAATGCGAGACCTCCTATGCGTGAAACAGGATGAAGCGTCGATCGTTGTCGTGACTGCCATTGAGCTCATGGCCACTGTGCCCGCTGCTGGTCGCGAGAAGGACGGGAGAATAACGGCATAAGGACCCTATGCTATCGGAACTTTCGTAGTTCGACGAAGTTCTTCGGTCGGCATTCGCGTGGGAGAGCCGCTCTGCGGCCTTCGAATGGCCAACGAATTTCGATTGAACAAGACATCGCCATCGTTCAAAAGCGGCTCAAAGTCAAGCGGTGTCAGTCACCGTGGCCGAGCTCGAAGGATCAAAGCTTCGTTTGGAGTCCGACACGGTTTGCATATTGAAAAGATCTCGGGTAGTGTGGCAAACAAGGATTTAGGCCCTTTGGCACCTCTACAATCCTTTGGGGCGCGAAACTTTGTATCCTGATCTTCTTCGTCCCTGCCGAAGGAAGCCTCGAGCATGGCGTGCGAACCGAAAACGGCCTTCGGCTCCATCGCAAAATCCAAGAAACTACAGTAGTTATCAGTCTTGCACACTGCCCCTGAAGATTTGAAGTTGGAGAGATGCTTGAGTGTTTCGCGATGTGTGCGTATTCGACGTCCCCGGCTGATGCGGCCGGTGACTTTGCAAAGAACGCGAGATAACGCGATTTTTAGTCTTAAGGTTTGCAACGTGTGATCACGCCACCGCGTGGGCCGCGATGGGCCGCGGTACCGCCATGCGTGCTCGGCGCGCTCGCCTTGCGAGACACAACGAGTGTGCACGCTGGCGCAGATGTTCCAGACTCGAGGTTCTCTCCTGTCTACGGATGCAGCCCGCTTTGTTTTGGCTTCGCATTGAAAAGGCCAAGCACGAGATTGCAACATCCTATGCGTGTCCTGTACTTCGGCGCTCTCGGACATGAATCGTGCTCTTGCCAGAGTCCTTTGCATATTTTGGGAACTCTTGCTTCCGCCACAATCTCGTATTATTTTGGTTTTTCAATTGCTTGCCCACTTAGTTTTTGTTGGTGGACTCGTGCTGCTGCAACAGACTTTGGCTGGGGCACCAATGAAACCCTCGCCACCGTGGCGGGTGTTCTTGGACAGGGTCTTGGGTACTCAGAGCGTTGACTGCAAGGTGATCTTTCACTGTTTTGGGATTTCGAGGTCTGCGCTGGCTTACTTTCCTGTTGAGGTGGATCGGAATGCATTCTGCAAATAAAGCATGTTGTGCTACTTGGGCCTTTCGACGACTTCTGGTATTTTCTGCTGATGGGGCATGCGTTCGGCCTGAGTTGGAGGTAGGGCCCGGAGGTGGCTATGCCGTCCTTGCCTGTACAGTGTTACACACTTCCCTGTGCGGATGGCCATATGTAAAGTCATTGAAAACTACCATGGGTTGCGTAAAAGAGAAGTCATGTCAATACGATTCAGCAGTCGCTGGTTTTCTAAAAAAGCTCAGGATTCTGCGCCAGGCTGCTAAGATGACTAAGATGGCCGCTTTCGGGCTTCTGCGGAGGCATTTCTGTGAGGCTAGCACTCTTCGACCTCCCGAGCCACTCTTCGAAGATTGCATATCCAGCAACTTTCATATATCAAGCTCTCACGTGCACAAAGCTTTCCTGCCGTCATGCTGGCAGGAGGTTTGCCACAAATTTGCGAAACTACTCCAGCATGCGAACTCACAAGTCCGCGAAGCTGCTGCATCTGCGTTGGGTCGAATGACTGGCGATGGCAGGGCTTTTGCAATTGGCCTGGCTCTTACTGCCGCGCCAAGCATCTTCCAAAGCATATGACGCTAGTAGGCATCGTCAGAGTCAGAGTCAAGCGAGTCGAAAGGTGCTCTCGAGCAGCCGACTCATTGGCCTGAAACAGACATCGCGGTGCTTCGTGCTCGGGAAACGGCACGGCAGAAGCTGGGCACGCCATGACAGCCAACGGCCACAAGGCTGGGATGCTGAAGACGACGGGCCCAATCGTTTCTGCCAAGCTTGAGTATTCCAGCACATCCGAGTGCCGTCGGCGAAACAGGGCCCAGCGAAGTTTGTCGCGCGTTGTTGACGAAGCTTTCGCAGGTAAAGTCACACCAGTATCGAAGTGCTGCTGACATTTGGCTGAAAGCTGCAGAGATAGAATAGATGCAGCACGCTTAGCTTCGCTGCAGCCTCCGTGGTTGGCATGGCGAAGCTCTTTTCCGGACATGATAAGACACGCGGTGGCAGCGGAGAGAGGGGTCAGACAGCTTTGGTCGGCGTGATCGCGTTGCTTTTATGTCCTGTGTTGTGAACGCTTTCAGGTATCACTTGCATGCTGTTTTGGGACTTCTTGCGCTTCTTCACTTTGTCTACAGACACTTGCCTGCAGACGGAGGTTCTTAAAGACGATAACGGCACCTAGTATCAACTTCTCTGCACATGTGGCCTCAAGCCGCCTACCAAGTCCCAGGGCCTAACCTCTAAGGTCAGCCGACCCATAGTGTCGTTCGTGCTGTCTAATTTCACGTCGGGATAGGTCTTGAGGAAGGTCAAGAGAGCAGTAATAGCCCATCTCATGTTATGTCCGAGGTGAGTTCACTTTCTTGACGTGCGATCGGGAAGTTGTGTTTGGAGCATGCCAGCCTTTCTAACAGTGTTGAGAGTGTAGCGGCCTCCCGTCCCTTGCCTTGCATGTCCGTGTTGACTTGAAGCACGAGGCCCCAAATGCATGCACTCACATGAATGAAATTAGGTTGTACTTATTGACTTGTAGAGATTATTGAGTTTTCGCTTATATCTGAGAGAGCGAGAGCGACAGCGCGAATGAGCCCCGGAAAGAAAGAGAGAGCGAGTGAGTGAGTGAGAGGAAAGTGTGAGAGTTCAGAGAGCACATGAGAATGCGTTGTGCTGGTACGGGCACACTCGGGTTGGAGGAGCCCAAACGATCCTGCACATGGCGGAGTGATTGCTGTCTAAGGGCATTTTTTGTGTGGTTTCAACACCTCATTGACCTGCCGCGGTGAGACAGCATTGAGCACTGTCGCATCGTTCGCAGTTCCGCACGGATTGGGGCTTGCAGTCACTTCGCAGATGAACTACATTACTACATGGGATGATGACAGACCTTGGCCAGCACAGTCGCCTGTTTGTGGGTGTTTGAAGGACATTTTGCCAATGGATTTGCGACAGGCATTGCCGCTGCAGGCAAACTGTTTCAACAGTTTATCGGCAGTCGGTTCTCGAGGCGGTTGGGTAGATGCTCGAAACAGATTTCCGCTGCTGGCCCAGATGTCTTTTGGCGAATAACTTAACTGTGACAACAGTCCGACTTGCGAGAGGGCGGTCTTGCCCACAGCATGAGAAGAGAGACCCACCGTGCCAAGAAAGAATACAAATCCGTCACCCGAGCACCACGACCATCACCCACACAGCTCTTGCCACTCTGATAGCATCCTCCTGCTCCTCCTCCTCCTCCCTCCGCCTCGCGGCATTCTTCATCTGTCTCCTCGGATCATTTCACGACTGGCACAGCTATGCACTATGCTTGCCGCAAACTTGGATTCTGAGTTAATGTACAGCGTGAGGGGGGGGGATTGCTGAGGAAAACCAGGTCTATTTTGAAGCCAACCCTAGCCAAGCCAATCCGTTTTAAAACGGAACTTCCTAAACCGTTGTGTCATAGCAAATCTTTTGTCTAGTAGGTAAACCCTAACTCATGGGAAAAGCTTTGTCTAACAGGCAAACACTCTCTAATAGGAAAGCCGTATCCGATGGGTAAACCATTGTGGAACAGGAACGATCTGCAACAAAAGCTTCATAAACATAATATAACCACGCATATATGTGTGTACATGTATATATACACACATATTTCGACTTTTGGTTTGATATATATATATATACATATGTGTAGAACCGCAAACCGTAGTAGGAGATGATGAACAAAAAGGCTACAATAATAGTTTGTTGTGGGGAGAAGATGGGTGGTGAACCCCGAACCCCAAAAAACTGCCTGAAAGGAATGAGTTTACTACAGCCAGGAACCCCAAAAGGAGCGGCCATGGTGCCAAGGAATGGGCCACAGGCGCAGGCGCATACCCGAAAAGGAAGGGCCAACCCCGAAAGCAGCGGGCCAGCCTTGAACTTTATACGGGGAGGGCCATATGCGTGAACTTTATCAAGAGATAATGATAATGAGCTGCCAGCACGAAATCACAAAAGGAACGGGGAGGCATCGAAAAGCTTATTCCCGAACGCAAGACGATGGGTGGTCAATACCAAACAGTGATCATGACATTCATGACATGTTCAAGACTGCTTGTAACTCAGGTTGCAAAACGACCCCACGATGGTCGCACAGCAGGTTAACTTGAAGCTGTTGGGCCATGCTGGCGGACGGTGCGGAGGCGTAGAAGACTCTCTAACAAAAGCCGGGTTCACTCTCCAGAATAAACTGCATCGAAGACAAGATCTTCAGTTTGGTCGTGGAATGGTGTGAGAGTCCACAAACTCGCACTGCTGGTGTTGCGTACAAGGATTGCGCTGTGGTGTACGGCACTTCTCCGGACGATCAGCCGGTCCGCTGGGCCCTGGGCAGGCCTGAGGACAACCTTTACATCCACATTCCGCATCCCTTGCTCGATCCAGTACAAGAGTGTGCGCTGTCCCGCCTCGAGCGATTTTATACCGAAACTTTCTGGCTTAACAATGATGTCTCTCGCCTAGTTTAGCGTATGTGTTTGTAATTGACAGGTTCACAAAATGCAAATGCATGTTAGCACTAATAACATCTGCGATATCTATATACTCGGAAGCACGACCAGAATTGTGCGCGTGCGGAAAGGTATTTGCGTGCAACCATGTGCAAGAGGGGCGAGAACATTGTCCGATGTTTCATCGGAGTGAGTCCTGGAGGCACACGTCGAGCATGCTCTTTAACTGCTACAATGGTGACAATAAAGAGCTATGGTGCGCTAGTGATCAGTTATACCTAGGATCGCAGGGCGTAAACTATCATCCCTGCCTGAACTTGGAAATTCATGTTTATCCCGGTGCCTGCCACGAGTTGGGCAGTCTTTGCATAGCTCGCATCTCGACGCGGTCTAGTCTATGCGTCCAACCACGTTCGTCGACCCCAAATCTGGTACGATGAACACGAGAGGTGGAGCAATGCGCAGGCTGCTTCATTCTGACGGCGCAAGAAATGCCTGAAAATGCTCGCAAAATCCGGGAGGATCTGTTCAAAAAGACTATGTCGGCCGACGGCATCGTAGGGCGAAGGCCGTACGGCATGAGTACCAGAATGATCGAGCTGGTGGGATGGAAGCGATACGTCAACTCGATGGTACGCTTCAGCGGAGTTACAGAAAGAAGTGTTCCATCCGCCCACAGACTTGGGTTCGTGTGCCTTCCGCAGGCTCGCTTGGCGTTCTTCTGGTTGGCTCTTAGGACTTTAACTTTTTGGGTTTCTAAGGAACTATAATAAGGATGCTAAAAGTTTAACTTTCAGGAGGGGTCCGGAGGTCAGCCAAGTTCGTTTCATAGACGGCAATGTCATTGCTTGTCAGTATCCGGATGCTTCCATGGATGGTTACTCTGCCAAGCACGACGATTTAAAAACTTTCTTGCGAAGCGGACCCTGGCAGCTTCGCTCCGACTGCAACATGCTTTTGAGTCTACTCACAGTGCACAGGCACAGGCTTGTCGCGACTTAATTGAAACATATGCTGCGAAGCCTTTGACGGAGGATGCCATGAGGGAAGCCTGCGGTCTGTAACCGCGCCAGCGCTCAGACCAGGTACACGCTGACATCAATGTGCCGGTCGACAAGAGCAGCCAAGACGAAAGAGACCATTTGCGCGAGCAGCTGAAGAACGTGCTGCCTGCAATCATGGAGCATTGTCTGGAGAAGAGCAAGTCTTTCGTCACAAAGGGCATGTGGAAGTACATCAAGCTGCCACCAGACCATCCGTCTCATATGGGCCTCTGGGATGCCTTGCTGCGCCACAATCTTCTATGTAAGCTTGAACAAAAGAATGACGAGTACAAGGACGCCGCCATGCCCATCATTTCCTTTGATGCTGCCTTTCGTCAACTTATGCCTATTCAAGCAGATTCTCCGCAAATCACACATGAGGAAGTGCACGTGCACGACCTTGAAGCAGCCAGGCAGAACATTATTGGTAGTAATGGAGACAGAGAGTCAAATGTGGCGACTGTGCTGCCGCACCTGGATCTTCTCGGCAAGTCAGTGAAGCATCACGGCAAGTCAGGCAGACATGAAGGAGCGCTAAAAGATTCGGGCAATCGAAAGCAAGGTGAAGAAGGTTACGGAGAATGAAAAAATGCTGACCAGAGTCATGGAGATCGGTATCTCGGAGGACGGAAACGTCAAGCGGCGTCGCACAGCAAAATCCAGCGCGTCGGTTGCTGCTAGCCCAAGCGCTGCCAGCAGGAGCCTTGTGTCGAATACGAACACAGATGATCGGTCATTCCAAGCTAGGACTAGTGCGCACCCGAGCTTACGCGAGGGCTTAGATGGGCAGCTGATGTCTCGCCCGCTGCAGCGCCTAATGCTTCCCGGAACTGATGACTTGGACATCCAGAACTCCATTCTTTGTCACAGTTCCTGCGCAACCTTGGCTCCGAAGACGTCATTCCAAAGGAAATGCACCAAACCATGGAGGCATGCGCGAAGAACAGGGACGAGATCATCCGCGACGAGCTGAAGATGAGCCGGAAGCAGGGCAAGAAGCTGCTTCATCAAGTGTTGTTTGGTGCAAACTGGCCGACTGCTCTCAGTGGGAACAAGTTCATGCAAAAGTTTCAGAAAACTTCCGTTTACCTGAAGTGGCTGGCGTGCTCTCTCTTGCCTAAGGTGTACGAGCGCGTTATCGCCATAGAAAAGATGTCGAATCCGGAAGCCTCCACTCTGTTCTAGTTGTACGCGCAGTGGA